CTTTAAGTTAATATTGATGTATTATACATTTAAGTTCGGTTTACATGGAATGAAAAATATGAGGAAAACAGAAGGATAGATCATACTATCAAGAAAAATTTAAAAATAATAAAAAATTCTCCTCCGGTCCTAAATACATACAAAATAGGTATTATATTTAAGACCTGAGGCAGTATTATTTTTTTAAAAAGTTTTCCTTCCTAGTATGTTATTTTCTCTCTATTTTTTCCATTCGAACTTGTGGCACATCTCTTTTATTTTCTCAGCCCTCAAGCTGCTGAAAGAGATTCAATGGGGAGACACCATCATGATTGGTAGGCCCGTCTTAGACTAAAGAATGTCTAATTAAGAAGAAAGTGAACATTCTGGGAATTCAGTGCTGTAGCTCTGTGTATGAACAATTGCTAATCCTTAACCACCCATTATATATTATATGCAATAAAAATGTACCTCATATATGCATCGCCAAATTATTAAGTGTGGAAAACACTATATATTAAGGTGCGTATTTTATAAAAGAATGACTAATATCTTGAAACAATGAAACTAATTAATGATTCTTGAAGCTGCATCTAAGGGATTTGGTTCTTCCTATAAAATATTTCACTTTTTTGGTCTTTAATTTATATCCAATTTTCTCATGATAAAACTATTACCATCTAGAGGACAACGAACCGGATCATTGCATATAAAACTCTAACTTAAGCTTTTATATATATTTATGTGTGTGTTTACTAATATAATATATATATAAGGGTTAAGGTGTAAATTGTCTTGAAAGTTTTCACTCAGAAACGCTAACTATCCAGAAATTTTTTTAGAACAAATTTGTCCTGAAAATTTAAAATCATAGTAATATAATCTTATACCATTAAAAATGTTAATTGCCAGTATCATTATTTTAATGGTCAACATTAGTTTTTTGATAATAGAGAGCAGTATTGTTACGATTTTAAACTTTTGGGACAAATTTGTTCAAAAAAAGTTTTTAGATACCCAGTACTCTTGAATAAAAATTTTCAAAATAAATTTGTACCTTAATCCCATAACATTCTCCATCCTATGAGAAATTCAAGATACATTTATGTCTGAGTTAATTAAAAGTTGTTTTCTAGTACTTCCTTATATTCTTATTATAAGCTTCAAATAACTAATTTACGAATAACGAACAAATAGTTAAAATTAGTTAAAAAATAAATATGTTAGAAATATATTTTATTTTCAAATATACCCTTATAATAATGAGAAAAAAGATAAAAGAAAATGTATGGTCAAATATGATGTAAGAGAGAAATCATTAAAGACAATATTGAGAAAAATATATTAAATATTAAAACAAACTTAAATTAAAGTTCATAAAATAGATAACATTTTTTTATAATTTGAAACTTACAAATTAGATAAGAGGGAGTAGTACTTTGTATCGATATTATAATATTAAGGAGTGCTTTAATTAGAACCTAAGGAGACAGATATATATATATATATATATATATATGAATAGGCCAAAAATAACTGAGATATTGGAACGATGATCATAAATGAGGAAGCACAATTGCCTAAATTAAATAATTAATGGACTTCCTCTAACAAAATAAGCTACCATTCAGTCTTTACCGCACCCTTAATGAAAAGAATTTAGTCTTCACAAGCTACGAATTCCGTTGCAGCACTCACAGACACATACGTTGATGGGGTATTTCCTATTGGAATCACAATAAAATAAGAAGAAAAGAAAATTAAAGAGGATAGATAGAATCCCCATACAAATTTTCTTTTCAGGGTTTTGGATGGATTTTACAAAGAAAACATGCTTTTTAAAATCAGCCCGGAAGAGGATTAAAAAGACGCATGTGGCCATATCTTTTCTACGTAAAATATTATTTACTATGGAGTTATAGTCATTTTTTAATTTCTTATTTGTTTATCTATTACTACCTCCAGTCTTTAATACTATCTCTACTCCTTAATATAAGAGCTTATTTTATTTTTATTTTGATCCTAAATATAAGATATCAATCTACTTTGTCTTTTACATTTATCTTTTTTTTTTAAAAGATAGTCCTTATAATAATAGTAGTTTTAGTCAATGCACTTGATTAGTAATAATATTTTAGAAAAAAAATAAAATCTATTTATTATAAATAACTAATATAACTAATTTTTTTAATATATTTAAATTAGTCAAATAGCTTTTACATTAAGGATCGGGGATAGTAGTATAGAATGAACTATTGAAGACATGATTAAACATTCTTTTTTTTTGTTACAAAAAAACTTAGGTGAATTGGGTTCCGGGGGCTCATAAGGATCAGAACATGCTTCCAGACTTAAAGAGCACTTACAGAGGTAATTACAGATCGCCCACTAACAAAATCTTCATATCAGCAGAGGGATTTGAACTCACAACCTTGTGGGTTATGAGCCGATTCTTTACTAATTAGATCAACTCTTGTTGGTGATTAAACATTCTAATTAAACTTCTCATATGCAAAAGTTTGGTCCTCGTCCATCCAGTTTCTTCCTCTTCTATTTCCTTACGATCAAAACAAAAAGTTGGCGATCACGTTTAGTACTGGTCCACCCATTTATGAACAAACTTGGCCAGCAATAAAAGTTGGATTGGCGATACACAATCTCGTAAAATTCACCTAATCATCAATACTTCTTAAATAAGATTTAATATTCGAGCCACATGAAGTGATGAAAAAACAGAAAAGAAATATTGTGATTTTTTTTCTTCAATTATCAAAACCAAATGTTCGAATTTGACTCAGTTACTAATAATATCATATTTCCAATGGTCTAGATTAAAAAATTAACAGTATAGCATGATACTAAAACCCAGTTTGGATTAGTCAACCAAACTAGAAATCAGTCCATTGGTCTCTTTGACCTGTCCAATCAAGACTCTTGGATGGGGTTAAATTTTCCTTTTTTTCATTGAACTGGAAGCAGTGGCAATGCTTGGTGTTATTTTAGAGAGTTAAAAGTTGTTTTAAAATTTTTCACTTAAGGGCGTCAGACGTTCAGGAGTTTTTTGATACAATTTGCTTCCAAAAGTTTAAAATTATAAAAATGTTGCTTCATACTATTCAAAAAAATTAACATTTATTATTAAATTAGTAATGTTAACTGTTAATATTTTTAACGGTAGAGAATGAGATTGCTGAAAACTTTTATAATAAATTTGTATATTAACCTCATACTAAAGTGCCCAAAATTTCCTGAGGAGTGTTGAGTCGAAAGAAGGATTGTGGTGTGAGATAGAGATGGAGGAAGAAAGACAAAATAAAAGCTTGAAACCCCCTTGGCATAGACAAACCTTGATGCGCATGGAGCGTGCGTAAGCATGAGTGCGCGTGCCCGCAACACTTCTCCAACATCTTCAACTTGCTCTCACTTTCATTGGCCCCAAAGAACGAACATCAAAATTAGAATAGGAAAAAAACAGAAATTGTGGTACATTATAAGAGTTTGAGGTTTTTCATAATGTTTTGAAATTCATGTATAACTACGTATTATCCAAATAACTAATTTGAAGAGATTAAAAAATTATATAAGTTACTTTAAAATATTATATTTATTTTTTCTCTAAACTAATTCGCTAAACTTATAAGTGGATACATACTCTAATAATACACACAAATATTTTTAAAAAAACATGTAACATATATTATAATTAAATAATTTTTTAATTTTTTTAAATTAGTTAATTATGTCTTATTAAGAACAAAAGAGAGTAATACACATATGTGCACGCTTTACAAATTTTTTTTTTTTAAATGAGCATTCCCATTTATTGATTAATGTTTATTAATGATATATATAAGTTATAAAATCGTCTAAATCTTGGTGTCGAGCTCAGAACCTCCAAATTAAATCCTCATGTGTTTACCATGAAGACTAAATTTGATGGTAAAATCGGCTAAATCTTGATGCCATTGGAAAATGGAAACCTCCATCTCTTTACCGAGAGTGGAATGATATCACTCTTAAGAAAGGCACAAATAAATAGAGCTACCTTCGTACGAAGAATAAGAATTATAAAAATTGGCTAATAAATAATTGCCACCTACCTTTATATGAGCATTCACATGTAGGTTTAAGGATGATATTATTCTACATAAATAAATAAATAAAAAGTATGTTCATCAAAATGCCCTTTAAATCAACTGAGGGGGAAAACATAATTCCCCCCTTCCTGTACTATATATTTTCTTTGGTTTTGGTCAACTCATGCATTTTCAATTTTACATTTGAGACCAAAATATTGTGTGTGCAACAGAAATTACCAAAATTAAGCCGCTAAATTGTTGCCTCATACTTAATACTTTTCTGATTTTAAATATAAGACTTATTTTATAATATAAATTACACTATAAAATAGGTTTTATATTTAGGATCAGAAAAATATTTTATAACAAGTGTACAGTGAGTCACACTATTTAAAATTATGAAAGCTTCTTATAAATTTATATTGTATATAGAAGATTAAACATAGTTTTCAATTTTTTTTTGGAAAAATAACAAAAAATACTTGTATTTTAAAAATAATAAATATGTAATTTTGATATATTTTGATATGTCAAAATCATTATAAGAATAGTTATCATGACTTATTTGTCTTTTTAAAATTTAATAGGTATTTTGTTTTCATTTTTTCTTTTTTTCAACAACTTATGGTTTGAACTTAATTTTGAGAACATCATCTGTGATTCTTAATATGTTACCTTGTTGAGTACAAATTTTGTATGATTTTGCCAAAAGTTTCATAGGAGAGAGTAGAAGGAGGGAGGAACATATAGGCAGGTGAGAAAGGAAAGAACAGCGAAATGCCATGAGAAACAGTAAATTGCATTCTGTACCTCAAACCCAAAGTTAAAAAAAGAAAAGAATAACAGAAATCATCGTTAGTACCATCCTTTGCCCTATAAAATGAACAGCACAAAAGCTAAAGTTGCAGTCCTTGTATTGCAGACTGGAAACACACCCTCTCCCTTCTCTCTCTTCTCCCTCTCTCTTTCGCAATATATATTTATTTCTTCGCAATTTTAAAATTCAGCATGATTTCATCACTATTGAACTTCTCATTAATATAACCCCAAGAAGCTTTAGGAATTTTGGGAATGGTGAAGCTCTTAGTTTAGTGGTCGCTTCTTCTTCTCCTTCTTTCTGGGTAGGATATGGATTACACGCAGTTTGGTGAGTTTGATGTGAGGAGAGAAGGCAGAGATTTCTCAAGCATGGATTTTAGCTGGTGTTTGAGCTCTTCTTCAACTTCAATCACGTCTTCTCTTGTACATTTCCTTCTTTTTGCGTCTTTGCTTTGTTGCCCTGTCCTTTGTTCATCAGAAATGAACAGCAACAACAACCTCGGAGTGGTGAACCAGACGTTTCGCCCACACCAAGAGGTCCAGAAGTTGAGGGCCATAAGAACTCGTCTTCAACAGATCAACAAGCCCCCTGTTAAGATAATTCAGGTATTCATTCGCAGACTTATTGAGAAAGTTTAAGGTTTTGTCATTCTTCCTCTGTTTTTCTGAACAACGTCCTTAATATGTCATGTTCTGTTATTTTAGAGTCCTGACGGTGATATCATAGATTGTGTTGTGTCTCATCATCAACCGGCTTTCGATCATCCCATGTTAAGAGGACAGAAACCACTGGTAATTCCACGAATTTCATGGACAGATTTCTTAGAATCCGATTAAGAAATTAAAAGCTCAGTGAATGGTGATTGACACAGTGAAGTTCTAAATTTTTTTGGGTGGATTTTGCAGGATCCTCCAGAGAGACCAAAAGGGCATGAGAAAAGGGATATGTTAGGTGAGAATTTCCAGCTATGGAGGTTGTCTGGTGGATCATGTCCAGAAGGAACGATTCCGATCAGAAGAACAAGAGAAGAAGATGTGCTGAGAGCAAGCTCTGTTCAAAGATTCGGAAGGAAATTGCCAAAGCCTGTTAGAAGAGACACCAACACAAACGGACACGAGGTTTGTACTTTTCACAAATGAAACACAACAGAACAAAGCAATACAAACCCAGATTGTCTTTTTTCTTTTCTTTTCTTTTCTTTCTTCTTTCTTCTTTGTCTTTTCTATCAAACGAAGCAAAGTAACAAAGCAAACATACAAACAAGACCGAGACCATTATTAGAACCTGGTAAACATGGTGATAGATATCAGAGTAGTAGACTAATTTATCAGAACTCATAAAATCCATACAAAGCAAATTTTGCTCTTAAAAATCTCAAAAATACAAATTGGGCATCTGGGTTTTCCCACTCTTTTCTCAATGAAACATCATCTTCTTCCCATTTATGGCCATTCTCTTTTTGTTTAGTATAATCTCACTTCCCCCCAAACTCCAAGGCCTCAATCAAGACGAGATCAGCTCTTTTCTTCAGTGATTCTGCAGAAGCAAAATCTGACAAATCCAATCAAACTCATTTTCTTCTTCTTCTTCTTTCTTCAAATGCATCATCTTAATTAAGATTGTAATTAAGTTTGAATCTTGTGTGTTGATGTGATGCAGCATGCCGTAGGGTATGTGAGTGGAGACGAGTACTATGGAGCAAAAGCAAGCATAAACGTGTGGGCCCCATCTGTGGCGAATCAATATGAATTCAGTTTGTCTCAAATCTGGGTCATCTCTGGTTCTTTTGGGGACGATCTCAACACCATTGAAGCTGGCTGGCAGGTTCACTCATTTACTGCATATTTAACTCTTTAGAAAAATGCTTAGCCTCCCCAACTAAATACTACTCCCTCCGTTCCTTATTATAAGAGACATTTGATGTTTATGGTATATTCCTATATACAAGAGACACTTAAAAGTTGTCTCTACTTTTTTGCATTGATTTCCTAGTTTACCCATATTTATTATCTCCAACCCACATTCTCTCTCCCTCCCACTTCTCTTTCTTTTAATATTTTAATTATTCTCTCTCCTATTCTCTTTCCTATTAATGAAGGCATGTTTGGAAAACAAATTATACTTTTTACACATTAATTGTTTTTAATTAATTTTAATTTTTTTTTTTGATCAACGTATTTCGGTTATCTATCTCTTATAATAAGGAACGGAGGGAGTAGTATTTACTTTTCCCACAGCATGCTCCACCCTCTATTTTTATAAGCTTTAAATTTAAAAAAAGATGTGGTGTATTTTTAAGTTTTAATTTGGCTGTGTCTTAACGTTTAATGTAACTTTTTTTTAATGTTGTTCTTAATTATCATATTTTCTCATATGTTCTTTTTCATCCATTTTCATTATTTATTAAAAACATATTTGAAAACAAAAATATACTTCTAACCTATTTATTATTTTTAATAAATTTTAACTAATTATTTATTATTTATGAATTAGTTATTTAAAACTTATAATAAAAATAAGAGAAAGTGGTTGAAAATTTTTCACTGAAAATAGCTGTCAGGAATTTCTTAATGCAGAATATATGATAAAGCATTTACAAAGAAGTTATGCAGCTCAGCTACCTACCACTCATTCATGACATCACAGCATATTTAATGAAAGCTATTTATTTATTGTTGTGTTTTTTTAGGTCAGCCCAGAGCTGTATGGAGATAACTACCCCAGATTCTTTACTTACTGGACGGTGAGTAAATTTAATATGTAGTAGAGAAATTTGGAGATTAAGGATATATTAAAGTTAAAATAGAGGTAGTAGTGTAATTGGGTTTTTTATTTTTATTTAATTATTTTGCAGAGTGATGCATTATCAAGCAACAGGGTGCTACAATTTATTATGCTCTGGCTTTGTTCAAACCAACAACAAAATTGCAATTGGGGCAGCAATCTCACCCACTTCTTCCTATAATGGTGGACAATTTGACATTAGCTTAGTCATTTGGAAGGTACTTTACCTGCATTATGAAAATTCACCTATTTTATTACCCTTCATCTTGCCCCTTTTTCCTTTTGTTTCTCCTTCCTCTTATTTTTCATCAAATAAAAGAATAATGAAATTTAAAGAACAAAACAGACATGAGATATAATATATATGTCATAATTTTCTTTTAAGATATGAGTG